TTACTATAATTTTAATTTGAATATGATTCGAAATAGAAAAAATAAATCTATTTTAAGAGGTGGTGGTGGTGGTCAATGTAGGTTTCGTCTAACCATGGTTCAAGTCAACAGATTGTGCTAAAAATATGTTTTTATGAACTTTTTATGAGGGTTTTGTTTTTTCCTTTTCCAATTGAAAAACAAAACGTATTTATTTTATTGTTATTACAAAAAGACAAATACTAAATTATAGTTTCACATATCCATAAATTATTTTATCAAGAAAAACGTGTTTTGATATTTTTAAAATGTGAATAAATGGACCAATAATTGATATTAATTTATTCGTTACATCAATTTATGAAATATAATTTTATTGAACAGTCCATATTTTTGCCAAGATATAAACACATTCCAACAATAAAGTTTAACTAAATATCATATTGTTGTTGAAAATTAAAATTATAAATAAAAAATCGTCTTCATAATTTTATTTACCAAATAATCACTTAACTATATAATTTTATTGTGGTGTATTAAATGAATTCCTAAGTTGCTTTCACAATGATTTGTTATTCGAACAATCATTACTCAATGTCTTGTAGATGTTTTATGAGAGTCGTTGATTTTAAGTAAAAAATCCAAAAAATAATCTAAACCGTCACACCATGACACAAAATGGTTTTAAAAAACGAATAAACAATATAATTATGTATTTAATACTTACATATGTAATATTGAAACTGTGCAGTAAATAATTGGACTGTCAGTTGTATGACCACTGTCTATTTTGATTGTGGAATGTTGTGGAAATACTTTTAAGATATTTATCAAATAAATCAAACAATGAACTATTATTATAGTATAAATATAATTAAAATATAATAAAAACAAACAAGTAAATAGTCAATTAACGTGTATTTTTAATTAACATCAACATATCAATAGCTAAAATTTATAATAAACAACAATGTTTTATAATTAGATATTATTTTTAAAAAATGAGAAATCATTTTTTGAATTGAATTATTATATAATTAAACTTGTTGATTAATAATGGATAATTTTATTGTAAATTACTGTGATTCTAAAAGGGTTAATACACCAGAACCCCAAACAACTTTATTCTTACATTTCAACAAATTATTTAGATTTTAAATCGTTGTGATTAAATTATCGACCATCCGAAAATCCCACTCTCATTAACAGTTTGTTATCATCAAATTGATTTATATTTTTTTATAAAATCATCTATGTGATATATTCATTTGGTGTTATTGTATTTTGTATATATCTACTGTATTGCAATTTGCTTTGTTATTATAAATTAAAAATTAATACGATTATTTTATCTTAATGATTCAAGGTGATATTTTTATGTGTTTTTATATAATAATTATGTTAAAACATATCGATTATAATGGTAATTTAAGTTTGTTCAATTAGAGTTGATATTTTTAACGAGTTTTATTTTTTGTGTATTTTTTTCTGTTAATTTATTTCACCATAATACAGTTTTTGCCTAAAGCTATTTTTTGAATAACTAAACCTTAGCCTTACTATTTTTTATTAATATTAAACCATTTACTTTGAATGTATATTATGATAATATTTTGATTTGATTTTATAAATTAATTATGATATTAATGTAATTATACCATTAAAGTTATCAGCAAAATTTATTTAATTCAACAATATTTTTTTGTAATTTGTTAAAACTCTTTCAATTTCTTCTGTTTTGGCTAAGCTGGTAGAGTAACCGTGGATTTTTTAACGTGTGTAATAATTCCTTTTCTTGTCATTTTGAACATATCATCGATATTCTGGCAAACTGCATCAACAAGAGTTGGTGTTACACTCAAATTTCTCGATTCGCAGTAATTAAACAATGCTAAATTTGCAATATCCATTTCATCGTTGATTTTTGCAAAATGTTTTGGTTCAACATTTGGTTGTTTAATATGGGTTGACACTGCTCCATTTTGAATTCCGAAAAGAGCAGCCAGTATTGTATTATATCGTTTAGTCTATGTTTTTAAATATTTTAGTTGCTGGATTGTAGTTTTAAACTCATACAGATTAGGTTCAATTATCAAATCGTTGGCCAATTTAGTTGCTACTTCTTTTGTTTCCTTAGTGATAAGTTTTTGTTCAAAAAGTCGTTTTATGTTTTTCAACATCTCAACGTATGAAATTGATGGTTTTCTTTTTGACCTGATTTGATGTGCTGAAAATGGTTTCACAACTTGGTTTTCTTTCACATTTTTTTGATCGCGTCACAGAAAGTGTCCAGTTCTTCTCTTTGTATTTGAATTTATAGTTTTGTTATTTTTGGATATTGGACTCATTGATGTTTTTAAAATACTTTATAATATATAATAAACCAAAAATAGTTTATTTTTTTAATAAAATAATAGCTTTTATTTAGTTAATGTGGGGCTAAGGTTCATTTGACAGGCTAAAGTTTGCTTACCCAACTGTAGTATCAACCAATAATGTTCTATTTTTGTTTTTATTTTAAATTCGTTTTTTAGTTTTATATATTTTTGTATGTAAAATAATGGCAAGAGATATAAACACCAGATACTTGTGCTACAAATATGACATAAGAAGTGGTATAAAATCATGTTTAATGGTGTTTAATACTTTTCTTCAAAACCAAAAGATGAAAACGTGGAAATGTTTTTGATGTGCCCTCATAGTAGTCAATAAGAAAATTCGGTCAAGAGGTACCAAGGTATTTTTACTACTCAAAATACTTCAATAAATTTATTATAATTTTTACTCTGGTAATTCGTGACTTTTTATGAAAATATTTATCGGCTTGGAAATAATGGTTTCGGTTTTTTTGGGACTTCGATTGTGGATTTCCCGAAATATTATAAAAATTGTATCTTCGATATAATATCTTATTTAAATGAGTTCTTATTTGTTAGTTGGTTTGGGTAATATCCTTGTGCAGAAAAATGTTAAGAAAAAATAAAACTGGCATGACAGTCTTTTTTAAAAGACCAAATGACAAAAAAAGAAAAAAAATAACATAGCCTAATAAAAAAAATAACAGGGAAACAAGGAAACGTGTTAATTTATTGTTAAAAAAATATCAAAAAAGCATTAAAAATAAAAGATTCAAAAATCATTTACAGGAGTGAAAGTGGACATGTAAAAACAAGGGTTTGGAAGATAACAATAGCATTTTTACACCAAAAACGGCTTTTTTCATAAATTTCATAAATGACAAAATAAATGTGGAATGATTTGAATTGATATTTTTAAGAAAACCAAAATCAACCATTTTCAACTTAAAAACGTTCGATCTAAAATAATATAAGAAATAAAAAACTAAACAAAATATTCATGTGGTTTCTTTAGAAACAGTCCCTCATTTTTTCGGAGTTAAATTTGAATATAGATAGGAGTGCATTTTTGAAAACATTTCACTGGATAATTATATAAAAGCATCACCGACAGTTATCGACGGCACAACAAGTGAAGATAAGACTGACTATAAAAGTTCTTGTATTGTGAAGAAGACGAGAATTTTCTTACTGAGAAAGAATGTCATCAATTGGTGGTCAATCAAAAATATTTGTCCGAGAACCTTGACGAATCTGTTCTTACTCCAAAACAATTCATTTCTCGTTTAGATTTGGAAACTAAATACGATGAGGATGTAAGGGTAAAAGTCAAACATTTCTTCAATAAAATACTTGCAACTGAAGAATTGGTTATGCGTCGGAGTCCAGGCAATTACAGGTTCATTTCATTACAACAAAAGTGACAAAATTCAACAAAGACAGTGGCGGGAAAGCACATGTTGTCGGCTACACTGTTTTGGGAAACGTTTAAAACATCTCAAGAAGTAAGATATCAAGACTGAAACTCCAGGAGAGAAGTCTATTTGCAACTTTGAAAAACTCGTGTTTTTTGTTTCTGAATTACTGAATTGGAAAAGAAACTTTCGATGAATAGTTAATTTAATTAACAAAATTTTGTTTTTTATCGGATTGAAAATGGTCAATCAACAATTTTTGGATGAATTGAATAAATAAATTAAAATTATTATAAAATAAATAATATTTTTAAATACTTGTTTGTTAAGGGAACAAAATAGTGGTTCGATACACATTAGTGACCTTTAAAATACATTATTTCAATTTATTATTTAAACTATAAAAATGTATATTGTTATTTAAACTCTTTACCAAACCCCATTAAATTGAAATGAACTTGTTTTTTCAAGGAACTATATTATTGTAAAACACTTTGGTCCACCCACTTCTAATATCGCGTTTATTACTCAATTTTTAGAGTTAAAGTGTTCCTGTATTTTTAATTCCAAACTGCCAAATCAACAATTCTTTTGAGAAAACATATAAGTTTGTTGTTCATGTTTTTCTGAAAATTAAATACTGACCTATAGGTTATTTATTTTATTATTCATGTTTTAATATGATGTACATTCATTAATGTGTTTAATTTGATTACTCTGAGGTGATCCAATAATTTAGCTATAACAATAAAAAATATTTTTGATTTCTTTTCCTTACAATTGCAACAAACATTCGAACCGAAGTTAATAAGCCTTTTTGATTGGTCAATTACAAGAGGCTTACAAGTGTATTTGTCGCAAGGGCTTGTTGATTAAATTCAATTGTTTCTTTGTGTAGACAGCATCGGACATGAAGCTAGCTCAGTTTTATAATTATTTTCCTCTTTTTTTCTATTGTTTGGTTTAATTAATTATTGGCTTTTTATAATATTTCGAAAGTGTGAATTTAAATATAATTATCAATTAAAAAGCTATAAAAAGTTAAATAATTATTACAAATTTGGTCAACCTCTCGAAAAAAATGTCTTTTTTTCCTTGTTTTTTCAGCTATTTTTCTGAAAAACAAAAACAAAAAGGAAGGGTTTTAGGAATTGACCAATCAAAATTATTTTTTTGAAACCTTTGTTTTTACATTCCACTTTCATTTTTACAGGTCCACTTTTACCCCTGTACAACTAAAAAAATTGCCGTAACAATAAAAAAATTCTAAAAATAATTTAGATAAATTAATTGTTATAGATTGTTATATATTTTTAATTTAATCGAACATTATGCTTATTTTTTATATATATTAATAATAATACTATACCGTATTTTTAATTTTTTGGTGTTATAAAAAGTTTACTCGAGTAAAAAATAGTTGTATTTGCAGAATAAAATATTTTTTTTTAAAAAAATATTTATCATACAATGTTTCCAATAATTTACACATCATAGTTATAAACTTAATTTAACGTTGTAGTATATAAAAAATATATACATTAATGTAAATAAACATGTAATCGTTGGTGTGTTTAATGAATAATGACTGTTATGACATTTATTTTTTGATTGTTGATTATTTGATATGGTTGTGGTAGACAACTTTTCTTTGTTATGCAAATCAAATAAAATGAAAGTTAAGTCATAATTGAAATCTACATTGAATGCTAATTTCAATATATGTGTGAAATATTTCATGAAAATAAAATAAAATCATAAATAAACAATTTTTGATTATTTCATTATGTAAGTACGTCGATGTTCGTTATTTTTTTCAAAGAATTTTTGTTGATAAATATATATAAACCAGATATTTTTTACAAACATTCGATTAATAATCGTATTATTATCATTTATATTACAACACATAAAATTATACAATTATATTTTGATAACACCACAACTATTATGATAAAATTACATGGAGACATTTATTGATTATTATTTTTTTACAATTTGATAACAACAGTTTGTAAAAAAGTTTTTCTGTTTACTTCATCACTTTCATTTAGAAAATAAAATGTTGTAATTTTTTAATATCTTAACAAGTTACAACAAAGAATCTAAAAAATATAACTCCGAGCTTTAAAATTATTACATTTTCATCAATTTAAACTGATGGTGTTGATAAAGTTTTTCTTTACATGTTGGTGCGATAAGATAAAACAGACAAGATGTTATAAGAATATAAATATCAATTATTGATTGCAAATTACATTTTGTTTATTTTTAGACGATTTGCAATTTCAACTATATATACATTTTAAATTCGAGGACACCAATATCAATAAACTATGCTTAAATAATAAGTTGCATTTAGCTGTGAGTCTCAGAAATGTGTCATAATTGTGATAAATATATTGTTGAATATTATAACACTGTTAATATATGTTTATTTTTTCATTGTTTATTATACAATATATTATCAGAATTTAAAATAATTGAACTAATAAAATTTAAAAACTATTACAATTATTAAATATATTCAAGTTATATAAATTACGATAGAGTTTTTCAAATTATTTAACAATAAAAAATAATTAGTCAACTAAATCATAAAGAAATTTGAGGCAAAAAATATATTTCAGTATTTGTGCAAATTTTCTAAAAATATACATTTGAAATATATACAGTTTTAGACAAACCCCGTGCAACTTTTGCAAAAATGGGGTGACTGAGTAAAAAAAACAAGGAATCCTAAAAATAAAACTATTTTTTTCTTCATGGTGCAACTCTTTTATATTTTTTTTGTTTTTTCTTTGTACATTTTTATTTTTTGGACAATCTCAATAATTTTTTGTAAAAAATATTATTAAAAACTAGTTTTAAAAACAACACGAAAATCACAAGTTGATTCATTTTCAAACCATAAGTTTCAAATAGTAAACAAAGAAGACGGTGGATTTTATAAAAAGATTCCTTTTCAATAAAACAAAAACCCTTTCGATGCACATTTCTTTCATTTTTCACAATATCGCGAAATAAATAAAAAATGTTTTTTTTGGTGCAAACTTTAAAATAAAAATGGTTTTTATAGCAATTTTTAAATGGTCAATATACAACAACAATATATTTCTTCAATATTACACTCTACAACTATTTTTTTGTTTTGAACAAATGTTAAAGTTAAAAGTAATTTTTACTTTAAAAATATAATAAATTTCTCCTTAGTTGTATTACTATGATAATTTTTATATGTGCTTGTATAAAAAAGCACTGGTTTTTCTTTTTAATCAAACAAATAAATGGCTTCCGAATATCACGAAAAAATGAAGGGATTGGATTTCGAAGAAATGGAAAATAACATAGAGCAAAGAACACTTGGCGACCCCATGTCTGATAAATATGAAGATTTTTTCGAAGCGCCATCATTTATTCAATCCAAATTTTTGCTTGAAGAAATAATAAAAAGGTATCCAGACCTCGAGAATAAAAATCGGACATACCAAATTGGTATATGTATTGAGGTGTGCAAATCCCTTAAACTTTGGGAAAACACGGTTTGTGAATTGTTCAACATTAACAAACATACTCTTTCGAAAGAAAAGATGAAATTTCCCGCGATTGTGTACAAAATGGTACTTGAGCCGGGAAGGCCAAGTGAAATTAGAAGCAACCGCGAATCAATTGTAAAATATATTTTTGATCACAGGAAAGTCGGTTTAGCAGTAACAAGTCTTAATGTATTCCAATTTTGCACCAATGAATTTCAAATGATGGTGTCAAAATCAAATCTCCATAGATACATAATGGGATTGAAACTGTTTGAATACGTTTTAGGAATACCCGACGAAAATTTCAGAGTGAAAGTGGAAGAAAAAGATATTAAAGAATTTTACAATGTTACTCTACAAAGAATAGTTGGTCTTCATCCAGCACTTGTTTTAAATGAAGATGAGATGGAAACACAACCATTCGCAAACAGAAAAGCCGTGAAAGTGTACGTCAACAAGGGAGAACAAAGAATGCACAGAACACTTAAAATTGGACTAAGCAGAGCAGGGAGAAGAACAACACTGATAGGATGCATAGCGTTGAGTGGTGATGTGTTGACTCCAGGAACTGTTGTGCCAAACAAAACAGTGAATCTTGCATTATATGACAACGGATATGACGACTCTTCGATAAAAATATACAACACGAAGAATGGCTTTATAAGCACTGACATATTTTTGGCGTGGTTTCGAGATGTCGTTCTAACTTACATAATCAAAAAAACGCAATGAACTTCGTCAAACAATCGGTGACTTTAAAGAAAAAGCGGCTTTTATCATAGATGGATGCAGTTGTCAAGTCAACGAAGACCTAAGAGTAATATGCGAAGAAAATAACATTGAGTCGATCTTTCTTGTTCCTCACTCAAGCCATATGACGCAAAGTCTTGACGTGGGTGTCTTTGGTTCTTGTAAGAACCAACTAAGACGGTACTGTGAGAATGTGACTCAAGTAGTCAAAGATGAAGATGATGTTGAAAATATAAGCACGGAAAATGTATTTGAGGAACAATTTAATATGGAGGAAGTGGTGGAGGAGGAAGAATTAGATGAAGTGGAAGGAGAAACAATTACAAAGAAGGTAAGAGAGAAAAGAGGAATTTGTCTTGTGAATAGACTCATCTCAATGTTGTCTGCATTTCAGGCGGCAACAACGATACAAAACGTTGTCTCTGCTTTTCGGCAATGTGGTATCACTTACAAGACAGACATAAACCGTCCATCAAAAAAAGAGACAATCATTGTCCCACAAAAGGCGAGAATTGTGTGTCAGACATATCCAGGAATTTTTCGGTCTCCGGTTGCAGAAGAGGATGTAAACAGATGTGTTTTGATTCCAATGGTGGAGCACGTATCTCATCCTGTGTTCGGACCAGAACGTAATCCAATTAGAAGCGAAGATGCGAGATTCAGTGAAATGAGGCAAGTTCAACAACGTCCACCAGAACGGAGACGACAAAAAGAGAGAAAAACCAGTTGTTTGTAACAGCCAGAACATTTCTTACAGCCAAAGCTTGTCAAGTCAAGAGGATAGAGATTTGATAATATCAAGACTTATCTAGATAATAGGACTTTTGCTTTATTTTTTGTGTGTTCAACTCATATTTTTTACAATGATACTTAAAGTGAATAATGTCTTGTCATTTTATTGTATATTGATTTCTCCATGATATCGTTTCTTTTGTGAGCTCGATTTTCGATTTATATTATGTTGATTTTTTCTATAACAAAACAATATTTCCAATTACTGATTCAGACCAACATGATTAGTCTTTTATTATTTGTTTATTTGAACAACAAATCACTTTTAATATGTGGTCAATCAACACTTCGAATACTAGAAGACTAAAAAACCAAACAAACAAATTAATTAAAATTTGTGGTATTTTTATTATCAAGTGTTAGTAAAAAAGATGGTATCATTTTGGCGAAAGAAATGATAATTAAGTTTTTCGATAAAAAGTAAACACATCATAGCTATTTTTTGTTTTGTTCAAATTATGGCATTTAAATTCTCAATTGATAAGAGATGGTCTTCCCAAAACAACATTTTTACCTTTATAAATGATTGATATTATGCATTTTTGAAAAAAAACGTTTTTTACTAATCATAAACAAGAAGGAAATAACAGGCAAAAAACAGGATTAAAAAGTTACAAACAATTGAACTATACAAATGAAAAAAAGGTACACGAAAACTAGGTTTTTAAAGTCTGACATTCCACAAGAAAAACTGGGTTATTTAAGAATTTTTTGATCTTCAAAATCATTACAGCTTCACCTAAAACCTTAGTCGTCGGGTTGAATGAATTATTTTTTGTTTATAGCCACACACTTGTCCGCTGACCTTTCTATTCAATTCATAACATAGAAATTGTCCAAGAAACACATACGCATAGTAGTACTTTTATTTTTCGGACTTTAAATTCCAAACCCACTCATTTGCTGTCAGTAACAATTTTGGACTAACCCCAAATGTTCCGCGTTCAACAATATCATGATTGTTGTTAGTTTAATTTGTAAATGGATAGCTTTGTTAATTTTTTAATGTTTTTAATTCTTCTTTTATAATAAACAAAACAATAAAACAATAACATATTTAATGTAAGTTTCTTAATAATTTTATAATTAATCTTAAAAACATTTTAGAAATAATGTTATTCTTCTTTTTTTAGAATTATTTAACTCAGTAACTTCATTTTTGCTTAAGTTGCACTGGTTTTTATCATAACTGTACTATAAAAGCAGGAACTTTGAAAATCAAAACCAACACTATCATAAACAATAAGAATAAATAATTGAATATAACCACACACAAACATTTATTTAACTATATAAAGATATTAAAGTGATATGTTACAATCATAAACAACCACACGTTAATGTGCAACATAAAGCAAACAATATATAATATTTTTGTATTTAACATACTCGCGTTTTATATTGTGTATTAATGTTGTTTAATCTTGTTAATGATAAGTTAATGAAAAACATTTTGATATATATTCTGTAAATAAATTTAAAAATAGATATTTAACTCGTAATTTTTTATTAAAAAATGAAAATATTTTTTCCCATTTTTTCAAATTATTTTTGTAGCTTCTGAAATGGCAAATAATAAAAAATTTTTAATTCTACTGCCTATTGTTAGTCTTTGGTGAACCATGTTTGAATTAATAAGTTTTTTGTTTTAGAAAAATAGATGACTGACTTAAAAGTGCATTTCATCATAAAAAGCTGATTAAATAAATGTCATTTTTTCGAAGTCAAACCTTTATTTACAAAAAAAGATAACAATAGAAAAAGTATCGCTGAATATTAATAAATTGATGGTGTTGTCACAACCACAACAAGAATATCACAAACCATAATTATTAAATGTTTGGTAATTTTATTTTTTGTGTTTTAAGAACTCTTTATTTTATTTTTTTATCCATAGAAGAAAAACCACATTATTGTCTATAATTAAAAATAATAATTAACGAAACTGATATTTAGTTAAAAAATGGCACAAAGAAAATTGTATGTTTATCCTAATTCTTTTTGTCGCTATATATTAAGCTGAGACAAGAGACATGGACAGTTATTCACGTATGTAAACAGAACAGTTTTTACATTTTAACCTTTTGAAACTACAGTAAAACCTCTCATTAGTAGATTAAACAGTAAAATAGAACTCCTTAACACTTAAAAAAACATCGTTTTTTCTTTAAAAATGTTTTTGCATAAAATGTTTTTGAAATAATTACGTTTTGAAATATAATTTCACTTATTCAAAAAGAGGGTAAATGTGTATTGTAATACACACGAAAAAACCCGATAAACAAACAAATATTTAAGTAACATGATTGTATATTGCTTTCCGATTTTAAATCCCATTTCTAAGCAATTCACAATTGGAGTTAAATATAAAAAACATAACTATCGTCAAGTAGTGTCACATATAAACAACGTCTCATTATAGACAAACCAGAAACAGTCGCTTTGAAACCCGACGTAAACTTGTCGTTGTTTTCTTCAATTTCTAACACGTATACGCCATCGGCTAAATCCTTTTTCTTATCTAAAGTCGTATAAAAAATGCAAACTTTGTAAAGACAACGTATAAGATATCTACCACAAAGACCGCGATTTTTTTTGCGAACCCACATAAAAAAAGTACGACAAGGAGTCTAACATAATTTGTGCTTGGTTTATCTTTTTTTCCTTTAGAATTATTAAGTCAACTTCTGTGTGATGAACGTGTCGTCCAATTCACCGCGACCCTCAGAAATACATCGCAACATCGTGTGTTTTTTATATTATAGCTCTGCGAGTTCACTAAAATATTTCCAAACAAACCCATTTTTCTCATTGACCATCAAAAATATTTAATTTTTATTTTTAATCAGTTTCATATTATTAGTTTGATTTTTATTTTGAAAACTAATAGATACTTTTAAATTATTTAACAAATGAAATAATTCAACAAAGTACGTGTTATAAATACTCAACAGCACCATTACATGCTATCCACATAAAATTAAAAAACTGAATTTTAACTCAAGTTTACATTTCTAAAATTTGATATTTTTCATTGACTGTTTTTATAAAAAATTGCAATGTAATTGACTGATTTTGGTGAAACACATTGAGTTTAATAAGTGGTGTTAACAAGTTTGTTTAATGATTTTGGAAAATAAAACAAAACAACAACGGTTTAAACAGACGATGTGAATCAACAACAAATCATTTAAACACCCAAAAGTTTTGTTTTTTTTGTTTTATTTTTCTGCACTTGGTAAATAATTGATTGTTTTTATAATTTATTAATATAGTTTGTTTTCCCATATTTATAATATTAAATAATAAGTGATCAATTCCCGAAAAATTAAAAGAGTATTTGAATACACATTTAACAGGGAGTGTTTTTTTAAGTGTTAATAGTGGTTATGTAATTATTTTTCTTTTTTTCCCCCAAAATATGTTTTTAATTTTGATTGGTTGAAACATCTCTTAATGAGGGGATTTTCTTAATGGGGGTCTTCTTAATGAGAGGTTTTACTGTAGTACTATTTGAAAAATTATAAAACAATAAATATTAATTATTTAAATGTTTTTGAGATTTTTCTTTTTGTTGCATTGATTAAACAATATTTTGATAAAAACATTTAGCAATAATTAATGATATACTTTTTTATTATATATTTTTTATTTTTGCCATATAACAAAACATTTTTATTAAATAAGATAATACTCAATTGAAGACTACATTACTCTTACTATTAAATTGTTAATACGTGTATAACTACTTAATATTACATTTGATGATAATATAAATGTTTTAGAATTGATTCATTTGTAAAAACTTTATAAATTAATTGACTTAACTTTTGTTGGTATTACTTATTTGTTTGAATATTAACATCTTACAAAAAATTAACAACCAATTAATGCAACTATTGTTAGTGTAATTATACTATCCAAATTGCTAGATCCAATTTTAACCAATATTTTTATTAATATAATTTATATCATTTTAATTTAAATTATTTAATCAATATATTTTATTTAATTATTGTAAATATTTAGGTCTAATAAACAATTATTAAAATTACAAATACATAATCGATTTATATTGTCTATATTACAAATCGTATTGTCATAAAAACATGATTTTTCATCATTGGTTTAAACATAAGACTAATGTTTACAATAATGACAAAACTTACATTATAATAAAAATTTTAGTCAATTATGTGGGTGGATAAAAAGTCGTAACACCATTGAATATATTTTTTCTTTAATATTTATTGTTATATTTTTTGTTCTTGTTATTTTTATTTTTAATACTACGACTTTTTACAACTTTTAAAAATATTTTTCAGAAGTTCTATATAAATTTAGATAATGGGCCTGAATTGTTTTACTAAATTGGTGTATTAATAAAAAATAATTGATTTGATATTTGATTTTAATTTAAATATGCTTGGTATTTTTATAATCAATTGTCTGTTTTGTAAAGATAATTTTTTTGAAAAACTAATTTATTCCATAAGTTTTTAAATGGGTATAAATTGAAAAATATCTATCAAATATATATGGTTAAAATGAAAAGTAATAATATATTATTGATCGTGGTAATTGTTCATCTCTTTGCAGCAAGTTTATTATTTTTCTCAATATGTTCGAGCTCTCATATAACTTTAAATATTACAACTGGTATAGATAATTCAACAAAATTGTTAAATACACAATCAGAAGAAAAATCAATTAAATACAAAGAGAACAGATCATTATATGTTGATAAATTCATTCAGCCTCAATTTCACAACAAAAAAATTGATCTCCGCAATTTTAATTACAAAGGAAAATGCCAAGAAATTTTTAAATTTAAACCCAATAATAAAAGAGATCTGTGGTTGACAGCAGTTGGGTTTCAGAACAAAAATTACTGGGACAGAAATCGGAATGAAATTCTTTTAAGTTATGCGGTATCCAATTCATCAATTCCAAATGCGGATAAAGTTGTTATTCTTCTTCCGGGAGGTTATCCAAAAGAATTTAGTAAAATAACAACTCAATTTGGCTTAAGATTGGTCAATTCGGATATAAATGACGACCCAAAATATTCAAGTTGCCACGATGCAACAAAAAGAATTCCAGCATTCAGAAAATTCATCGAAAAAAACAAAGAAAAGTATGATAGAGTTTTAATTAGTGATCATAGAGATGTTTTTATTTTTGCAGACTTTTTTCAGACGTTTTCTCAAGAAGATTTGGTTTTTACTCCGGAGTGTGGAATAAGAGGAAATACTTGTATGACGTTTGATTGGTCACATGTGTACACGTGGATGAGGGAGACTTATGGATATCAAATTGCAAACGAATACAGAAATAACAGATCACTCAATATCAACATTGGGACAATATTTGGAGGGACTGATAGAATATTGAAGTATTTGGATTTGATGGAAAGAAACATCAAAACAAACAAATGTAAGTTGTGGGGACATGACCAAACTGTACATAATATGGTGTTCTATTCTTACTTTTATAAAAAAGATAAAAACGTAACTGTTGAAAGATGTACCCAAAGAATGTGTTTTTTACAGATGGGTAGTTTGCTGTACAATTCAAAAGAAAAACAATTGAAAATAGCGGATAGTGGATGTTCGCCAATTTTAAGACATAAAGTGCCAGAAATCAGCACAGGAGAAAATTGGAGGTAAATACAGATAAGTAGGTGCATTTTATTGTTATAACATTTGTTTTGTCAAATAAAAAAAAATAAAACCATTATTTTGGAAAAAAAAACATTCCAAAATAATGTGTATGTTTTACACACTATAGTGACATTATATTTAATTTAATATTATTTAGAAGTTTTTTATTTATTAAAAAATTAAAAATTTAATTTAATATTGATAAAATTATAAAAAATAAGAAGTATATATAGCCTTTTGAAGATAGAGCACATGAAAATATCAGCTTTAATAAAAATATAAAAGATATCAATTGTTACCTCCCCCCAAAAATATTATATTTTAACAATAGTATATACAAATAAATATATCATAATTTCTGTCCATTGACATTATTTATCAGCAAAATGAATTATAATTTTCTTATTTGGGTTTGTTTTTTAATTTTTTTGTTTGTTATAAATCTTGTTTTTCTCAATCAAAACAAACTTAGACAACTTGGTTAGTTTATTTTTGTCGTGGACAAAGCATGTAACAACAGAGAAAATATAGCCGCTGTTACAAACAACAATTGGGTCAACCCTTTTATTGCATTAAGTTATAGATACGACAATAGAAGTTGACAATAAACAATTTGAATTTTTACCAAAATAATTGATAAGAACGTGACAAATCACAAACAAAAAAGAACAACATGATTGGCAGACTCGAACATCGAATCAAAGTTCTGAAGGCAAGTAACACTTACTGCCATGAGATTGCTTTGGCGGTTTGTTTGTCAGTTTGCTATTCGAAATTGTGTATTTTAAATGTCTAAAAGTACTATTGCTCAGAAGCAAAATTCTTCAAGTAAACGATGTCAATATACTAGGTTTGTTAGCAATTTTTTCCATTATTTATTTCAATTTATCATCAAAATATTTATGTTATTAATATATTGATGTTGAAAATGATTGATCGAATATTCAATACCCAATTTATGTCATTTGTATTGGTGTTATTGGTTATTTGGTTTTGGAATAGTTTAATCAATGATATTTTTGTACTTATCTATTTTCGTAAGTTGTTAATATTTTCAATAATAATTGACAAAAACATAAATATGGTTTACAGAATAAATAACTTTTCCATACCGTTCACATAATTAAAATCACAACTTGTGTGTAATTATTTTTGAATATATATTATTATTTTTATAAACAATACCGAAAAACACTTACATTCCTTATTAAAACAGACCAAAAACACCCGAATAATATTAAAAATAATACAGTAAAACTTCTAGTTTGTGGGTCCGCCATTTAGAAAAT